TTGACATCTATCTCTGCCTGCTGGAGCACTGACCTACTGTCAGAAATTTCTCTCTTCAGTAACATGATGCAGTGTTTGCATAAGTGTGCGGTGGTTTTGTGTATTTCCATGTGGAGGCACCTACTGCCATATTAATATTATTTGCATTGCCCTACAGAAATTTTATGCTCTGTCCACCAAGTCCTGGTTATCTCCTCAGGTAATATAAACATCAAATCCATTTTGACTCCATATGATGAACTATCAGTGACTACTTTTCCCCAGAACACAGGTTCTTAGACACTTTGGGGTAGTTTATAGCTTTCAGTGAAACAGCATTGCTTCTACTCATCCAAGCATGTGTCCCACAGTCCAGAGAGCAGCTTTAGAAAGGCAGTAAAGTGACTGGCTTTTCCCAGTTTGTTCATATTTACAGTAGAGGGGAAAGTTTTCTCTCTCAGACACCTCTCAGACACATCACAGAGAAGATTTTGGGGAATCAGCACTGGAGGCACATAGGCAGCTGAACCAAAAGCTTCGGTTCTGAGCAGTGGGTGGCATCGTCCTGTTAATAACCTGTCTCCCCTTTCAAATATTCCAGCATAGCCTTTTGATTATTTGTCGTCAGCAAAATGCTGGAAGACCTTCAAGGAAAGTACCATGAAAGTGTTGCTTTTAGAGCCTCATGGAACTAATACACAGACTCATTTCCCCTTGATGCCAACTCCCTCCATTTCTTTTTTTCCTTTGGCTTTCCACATCCCTGTCAAAAGCGGGTCTTGTTTTGCACTGTGATCAGGACCAATTTTGTCACCAGGTGCTGCTCTGTGAGCACATTCCTTTTTTATATTCCCCAGGTGCTGCACTAGCTCACACACCTGCTGTGCTCTCCCAGGGGAGACTTTACCATCACTTTCCAGCAGCATAACTTAACTCCCTGACCTCTAGAAAAATTTCCACTGCCAAACCTACAGTAACAGAAGATGTATAGACTGATGTGAGCCAGGAACCTCTCCAGAGAGTTAAAACATCAAATATAAGTAGTTAGCTGGTTTGCCAAAATCCAGTGATACTAAATAAATTTATCCTTGAGTGGTTTAATCTTATATGAGATAAGATACATCCAGTAAAAGACTGCCCCTACAGAAAGACTGGTGACCTCCTGTTGATAAGAAGACTTAATTAAAAACTATTTTCTCTTAGATTCCTGAGGCAATTCAGATGGTTAAAGAAGTTTTACAGCTATGTCTACAGAGCACACTGCCTGCAAGCTCCAAAGGCTGAGTCATCACTAAAATACAGTTCTCTTGTGACGTTGAAGTGCTCCACGTTGTGCCTGTCTCCTGAAAACAGATCAGCAGAGTTGGAACACTGCTGGCTCCATGGGGAGCTCACCTCCATGCTCACTGGGGGCAAAAGCTGCCACAGCATGGCTGTGGGAAAGGAGGAAAATTGTGAAAGTCTGCCAAAAAGCAGACATCTAATGCAAAATAACTTTTAAGGAGAGATTAGAGTTGTGATTACCTCCTCCTCCTTCTCCCGTGAACTTCTTGAAATTCTATGCTTCAAGAAAAGCTCTGTAGAAGTTAATAGTCACGAATTATCTCTCCATATATTTTAAGTCACACCTGCAAGATTGCTCTCGCAGGGCTATTTCTTCATGCAGCACACAGCCCCCAAAGGATCTGGGCACAGAGTGCTTTTACATTTTATCAGATCCCTACAGGTTTCTGCATGTGCTCTGTTTGGTTCCACAAAACATAGAAATTAAAAATATTTCACAAGGAAAACTGATCTAAAATTGTTGTGAACAGGACGGGTCTGGAGAAATCCTACCTTTTCTTGGCCAGCCTTTGTTATTCTAGGGATGTCAAACAGCTGTCCCGTGTAGTACTGCACCCCACTGAACAGAATGACAGCAATAGAGTCCCCTTCCTTCTCAATTACAGCAAGGATATCTTCAATCCTCAAGGTCTCCTCCCCCTAAAACAAAGTTAAATCACACATTTTACATCAACTCTGGCAGTAATGAAACTGTCATTTCTTATTTCATAATCTATATTTTACCATGAGCCATGCTGCTTGCATAAGGAGATCAAAGGCAAATCCTTAGTATGGTAATGATATACAAAGGTATATGAAGTAGCCCGTAAGTTACCTCAAGAAAAAAAAAAACATTAGCAAACTTATCTTGAAGGTACTAGTTATAAAAAGTCTATTCAGTTCAGATTCTAGCATGCTTCATACTGTTTAATATTTCAGACAGTTTTAATTTACAATAAAAAAATCCTGATGCAAACAGCATATATAATGATTTCTATGTGACATCTGAAATTTGTGACACCCCCAGACTTGAAAGATGTCTATCAGTTTCACTCTGTACTTTTCTGATAAAGTTTGTATCCCACAGGAAGCTATTATAAACCTGCCATATTTATATTTCAAAAACAATAAGTCTCACATCATCAAAAGTACAGAAATCCCCAAACCTGGGGTCATTAAATATAGAGGAATTTCAGCTACACACACACACACAAAAAAAATCATTCTTGATTCTTTATAGGAAAATTACCACCCCATCCTCCTCCCGTCTTCCTAGCGAGGGATCATGTAAAACATACCACCACCTAGGGATCAATTAGGCAGTGAAAACCTAGAATTAAATTAGACTTGTTACTGAAAAGAGCTCGGGCAAGATTGTTGAATTGCAAGTAACTGTTATTATCTCAACAATCTTTGCAAATCTATCAAGCATTCAGGAGTGGGCTCTTTACTCACAAGATGACTCAGATTTCAGGAGCAAAAGGTCACCATCAGTTTATGGTTAGGTGGCAAAGATCTTAATACCACAAAAGTGAAGCAAGGCAGTCTTTCAAATTAATCTGAATTGCATATTACTCAAAGCAGACCTTTCCCTTAGTCTGGGCTGATACACAGGCTGCTGTTGTTCATGTTTGGCAATCTTTCACCTTAGGAAGTTAAAAGGACATTGGGGTTTCTCAATGAGCTATTATATTTTGTAGTTCTCTCAGGATGCTGTCAGGTTTTGCATGCAGGAACAACTAGAAAAAACCCTTTCCCCCCCCCCCCCATAAGCCACTAGTTGAATCAGACAATTATAAAATGGGTTCTAAGATCAGAAAATATACACATAAACAGAACACACAATTCAGAAATTTTACCTAAAGCATTAGTAGAAATAGATTATAGCTTCTGCAGGCAGACACTAGAATACTTGAGAATGTATGACTACTCTCCTATAAAATATGCTTCTGCCCTTAAGAGGCAGAAGTGCCATATTTCTCACCCACCTCCCGCGGCTGCATCATGAGCATGCATTTCTCCACATCAAGTTTGTGAAGTTGAAGCTGGGACTCGACAGCGTACTGAAAGAGATTTCCATGCAGAGCATGTTAGTGCAATTACATGATAAAACAACTAAAAGGAAAATGGCCAAATGTATCAGAACTGCAGAAAAGGGATTCAGATACCTTGCCTTTCACTAAAATTAATGCTTGAAAGCCTAATCCAACTCCACTGAGGACTTCAGAGATTTCCTTTGGCTTGAAAAAGATCAGAGTTTAATTCACATCATCAGACAGCAAGGGTAAAGACAATGCCTAAACCTACAGGATAAATTCAAGGAGCAGAGTAAGGGTGGAAATGCGGTGGAAGATGTGCTTTACCAGATGTCAGCAAGCAAAGCTTGCACAGATAACAGCCATGAAGACTGGCCATCACCTCTCCAGGGGCTCTGGGTACCCATTTTGCTTGGAAGCACATGCTAAATCCCAGGCTGTCACATAGGCACCACTGGCAACTCAAATGAGGATTGACCAGCACGTATATGTCATCCCGTGCTATTCTCACATCTTAGATTTGCTGCACAGCTGGGAGGAAATGAGAGCTCTACACTCAGGTGATTTTGAGAATCTTACCCACTGATTTTATCAATAAATAATGGTTCTGGAGATTGCCATCACTTCAGTTCCTCTCATGTAATTTTAAACTACTTTATAGTATTATTCTATAATTTTTATGCAGTTACAGAGGTTATTACTGAAGTGCAATAGAAATTTAAGAAGATGGAGTCCAAATGTACAAGTGTGCCTGGAACAAACATGGCATTAGTATGAATATTACTTAGAATAAAGGCAATTTGATGTTTATACATCTGTGACGCCATGTTCATTGCAAACAAACCTGTTAGTATCCCGAGTCATTTTTATTACACCTTAGAGATGAAATTTGTTATCAATTTCCATGAGTTTACGAAGTTGATGATAAAGTAGCAGTGGGCCACAAACCCAAAGATTAATTTTCTCTAAGCTGTGATGCATGGGCTATTGTCTCCTACTTTATAGCAGACAAATTATGTTTGAACTAGTAATCTAAAGTGCTAAGAACAAACATTCCCATCTCTATCTGGGGATATATAAGTGCTAATGTTGTGAGTTTGTATTGATTTGGTTTCATAAAGTAAAACAGCAACAAGAATTAATAAAACATTTACAACTTCAGTTGATTTAGGCCAGTAGTTTTCTCAATGTCTTTAAAAAGACTAATAAATCAATGTACCCATTCAATCTCTTCCTCTTGTAAGATTTTTTATTTGAACAAAAGGAATAGAGCTACGATCTGTAAAATATGCTGAGCTCAAAAGCTTCTGACAGATTTTTTTATTGTAATGTTACTTGGACAAGATGAGCTAATAAATATTCAAATCGGGCTACTGATATTCTTTGGAAAAATATGATTAATAATACAAATATGGTGAAATATTAATTTCTTACATGGTCAGAGGGAAAGGCTCTGGCTTCTAGAAGAATTTTATAGCGTCTTGGAGTAGGCTTAAAGAAAGATAGCTGTTAAAAAAAAAAATTATATGTTGAAATATATCTAAGCAGAGATGAAAGAGATGTTCCCAGTATGTAACTTAATAAAGATTGCTTTACTTTTATGCACTACTACAGAGAATCCCCTAGAAATTACAAATATTTCTTTGTCCATATAATATTTATCAATGCAGGAAAGCATTATAATACTCTATGTCATATATCCATAACAAAAGCCACAGAAATCTGGCAGTGAAATCTCGCACTTGCAGGAGTTGATGGCAAAGCTTTGACTGTGTCCAGGAAAGACGGGATTTCACTCAGCTCCATCCCACAAGCAAAAGCAGCAGCTGAAGAGTAGCAAACAGTGTGTAAAGGAACTGGATTTCCATCCCTGCCATAAAATATTAATTATCAAACCATCCCTTCTGCTGAAAGGACCTGACCAAAGGACTGAGACGTCTGCAAAGAACTCATCTCAGCACCTTTAGGTGAATGGTCTTCCTCAGCTCCTCGCATGGAGACAAGCTGGCCTTGCCACCATGCTGAGAGGACTAGGAGAAGCCCTACAATCCTTCCTGTTCATGCTAGCAGTGGCTATGCAGAGCTCAGCCTGAGCCCTGTACCCAAGTTTGGTATGAGTCTGTCTGCATTGCCCCTAATTCTAGGCAGAGCAGCCAGAGAAATTTGCTTGTACTTAGTCCCATCCTGCTGTGCTTCAGGCTTCTTAATCTAACAAAGGTCAAAGACAGGTTACGGAGAAATGGATCCAAGTGATAAATCTTTTTGCATGAACCATACAAAATGGAGCTTCACATCTTCAGTCAGTTGAACCAAGACTTTGGTAACACTAAAGAACAGGGACAGGCTGCATCTAACAGCAGAGACCTATGCATAAGGAAACCACATTGATTGCCACTATGTCATAAGATTCAAAATCAGATGCTTTATCAGGTTACAGGTATATGAAACTTTGTAACTCAAAATGTCATCTCTTGTATGCAATTGCATTTTAAATTTGACTGAAATTATAGCTTTGTCTTGCTCACAATTGAGCTCATGTTTCTTGAACTTTGAAATTTGGTGTGAAATTCAAAATTGAGACGTGATTTGAAAGTGTTTCTTAAATAGGATCTCATCTCTGAGGACTGACATGCTGCACATGTGAGACCAGCTTAGACTTCCACTGCAGTCCTTCAAAATATTTCACTGTTCAGCTTTTCTGTTTAATATTAAGTGGAGCCAGGTCTTGCACAAACCAAAGCATCATTCAAGATACAACTTGCAGTATTTACAAAAAGTTCAGCTGTTGATAAGTGCTTGTCTTTGTGAGGTCTTCGGAAAAGATTTTGCTTAGGTACACAAAGAAAGGAAAAAACACTTGTCAACACAACATCAAATAAACATCGTAAAGACATACCATCTGGAGGTGCAAGTTAACAGTTAGCCCATTCATTAAGGCTACTTCATGTCTTTGTGCCCCTGAAACAATAATAATTTAAAAAAAAATGTATTAGAGGTTTTCTTTATAATTTCAGAGAAATCTAGCACAGTGTTGAGAAAGCAAAAGTATGTTTTCAGTCAATGTCTTTCTAAAGACTGGAAAGTAAACAAATGTTTGAGGTGTCACAACAGTGAAGTAAAAAGATTTCTTGTCTGACTCACTACAGCACACTGGCAGGAAAATATTTATTTTTTCAGGTCAGCCACAGAAAACCAAGTACAGTGAAGTGTTTCCATTTCCCGGCAAACCAGTGGTAGATTTATTATCAATACCTCAGACAAAAATTAGGTCAGAGGACTATACGTAAAATAAGGCTTGCAGGCTTGTTTTTGTCATAAGTTTATATGTAAAGCAAGTCAGAAAGCATAACGAGACAGTCATCTATTGTAAGTGGTTACTGTAATGTCGAGCTAAAATCTCACCCCTAATTAAAAAAGCAAAATTTGTCTATTGAATGTAACAGACCATTATTAATTTAGCAACTTAGCAAGAAGCAGCCATACCCACATAGCTCCAAGGAGGCTAATAACAGATGCTTTTTGGCTACAGCTAATCACGGGGAGAGCTAATGGAGTAACAACTAGTTGTTATTAGGAAGTATTTAGTAACAATTTCTCAAACCCTTATCAACCACTGGTGAAATGTTTTAGGCACGATGAGGGACTGCATGTCAGGCAGGACGCCACTGAGATATGGAGAAAATCAGTTCCTGTTCCTTCTGTTTTGCCTGATGTCTGTGGTTGAAAAGCAGTAATTCACCCTTGGCACAAATCAGTGTTTTGAGAGTCGTCTTCAGCTGGAAGGTGGGCCCATGTGCCTTGCCCTAGCCATCACCCAGAGTTGGAGCTGGCTGAAGGTGGAAAGAGGTTGCAGGCATGGAGGGATGAAGACAAGTATATGCAGGCAGGGAGGGCAACAGCTGCCTTTGGGATCAAAAAGAAAGGAAAACATGATTTTAAGGTAAATAGGGAGCTACCAGAAATGGAGAGGTGAATCCTGGGTTTCCCTTGTACCCGCCTTGAAGGGCACACAGAGACTCAACTAAGACAGAGGAAAGGCAGCAAGAGCACCAGAACACTCCCACCATATCCCACAGAGCCTAGATTCATGAAGTTAATACTCTTCCAGCCTAGGAAAGAGACATAACTATGAGTTGAGTTCAATACAAGAAAATATGGCCAAAGAACATGGAAATCTATGATTAGGAAAGGTTTATTCATAAATCCTTGCCAGGCAGAACTCAGCTTCTGCCACCACAGGAAAAACCAAGAACCATCCTGATTAAGGTATTCAATGGCCTTTCTTTGTGTTGCTGAAATCTCTAAGTATTAGAGAGAAAGATCTGCCAATAGCTGTCAGTTACTCCAGAGAACCTGTCCAGGGGATGAGCCAGGAGGAAAAAGAGATGTCATGAGTAAGTTTCCTCCTCCAGACACCAGTAACATCAGCTAGTTTTTGGGAATAAATATCAGCAGACCTAGCTCTACACAAGGAAAAAAGTTCTTTTCTTCCCTCTGATACCTTTGCATCTGCATGCTCCATGCTGCTGGAAGAGGTCACCTTGCGGCTGTTCTATTGCAGATACAGGAGACAGCTAGAGAGAGTGATTGCAGCTCAAAACAGTATTATTTGCAGTCTTAATATTTCTATGGAACTCTTGAGGCTGAAAAAAGGGATAGCATCAAGAAATGGTACTGTTCTTATTTCTCCCTCTGCTCCTTCCATGAAAACTGTGTCTTTCACAGCAAATTCGGCACAAGCAATCCTCTGCCTGCTGTACCGTTTCCGTATAAAACAAACGGTTAATCTGTAGATCCCTCTTAGCTGCATGCTAGCATCCCAAATTAAATATGACACTACATTTGTCATGTAAGTCTTGGTCTTCCGTAAATTATATATTTATTAAAAGCTTTCCATTATTGAATTTCATGCCCACAAAACAAACCTCATCCGTGTCATTGGAAAACTGTTATCCTTTATAACCTGTACTGCGTTTCAGAAAACAACCTTTCTATGATCCAATTAACCTATTACAATATTCAAAGACCCGGCACACAGGAGACAAAATTATGTTTGCTTTCTTTATTTCCTAACTTTATACCATATCTCCAAGACAGGCTAAAACCTGTGTGTTCTGCTTGATAAATCTCCTCTTTAATAAAAGGAAGCAGTATTTGCAAAGTACAACTTCAGAGACAATTATGATTGCGTTAGGCAGACACTGCCATCCTTCTCCTCTCTGACTGCAGTGGGAGCCTGATTCTCACCAGAGTAAGTAAAAAGCATTTTGTAAAATGATTGAAAAAAGGCTAAAGGCCCCAATTCTGAAAATAGTTTGGTTATTTCAAATAATCCTTATCACTCAAAGTCACTACAAATCTGCCCAGCGTTCAGTCTTCCCTCAACAGAGACCTGCCTGAGCACATCATACAGCAGCAGCCATACAGTTAATCTTGTTCCATCAGAAGGTGATCCTGCCAAGGTTGTAATGTTTTAATAAAGTCTGGTAGGAGAAGCTGAGATTACCGTCACCGTGTTATGCCACTCGGCGAGAACATAGAAAAAAGCTTTGGCCTCCGCTGACCTTGACTCTGCATTTCACAATGTATTTACTACTGTAACTTTCATTGAACAAGAAAATGTGACTGCATTTAATAAGCAAGGTGCTATAGCACTATAAACCATTAAAGATATTTTACAGTCTTCAGACCATTCCTGAATAAATCTCACCAAATAATTTTTACTTACTACTACTACTTAAAGTGAGAAATGACAATTCCTCCTCCACACCGTATTAAATATTGAATAAATATTTAATCGGCTCGATGTCCGAGTGGAGAT